ACCTTTCGCGATTGCGTCTCAAATGAACTGCAAATTGACTAGTCTCTTCACAATCAGGTCATCGACGTGCTGTTCCTCACGTCTTGTCATATCGTGTAGATGTCATATTGACTCAGAATTCGCTATTAACTTTGTGACAGCATTAAAGTCTGACCGTGGCTCGGTAGCAAAAGTACCATCGTCACTATGGAAGCAGATACTCTAGGATGAATACTATACACATAAATGGCGAGCGACCTGTCGGGACATGCGCAGAGTTGGAGTTGTTCCTCACAGGCTCTACGAGACGCTGCGAAATTACTCCACTAAGTGAACCACGTAGCTTAAATACGCAGTACGTCCTCCAGGATTCGATCTAAGTTCTGTTTGACCTTTTGTTTTAGGGTGTGCCGCTGTTGACATGGACAATTTAGAGCTTAATAGTCCAAAAGTGTACACTAAAACTTCGACGTGAAACGGGTGTCACGGTCAGACACGATCTTAAGAGGAATGCAAGGAGAAAATAAAAGTGTATACAACGACTCTAGCTGTTTTTTTGGTGGATGTATCATACAAAATAGGCGCAAGATGAAATATCTTGCTGATTCGGTTCTGCAACACAAGGATGACATTGAGTCTATGTATGTCACGTGGACGTCCGAAAATGGAATCTATACTTACAGACTTCAAGCTGTCAGCTAACACAGCCAACGACCGAAGTGTGAGCTCGATAGTTTTATTCTTTGGCAGACCTCATGAGTCCGTACATACTCGCACACCACTTATACATGTGTGGCCAAAAGTAATCCCTGGAAAGACTGAAAAGCGCTTGTTCATGTTCGAGATCTCCATTCATAATGCTGTCATGATATTAATATAAAAGACGATGACGCAAAACGATGAGCACGCGATGTTGTGCGAGATGGAAGACGTTTCAGTGCTTTGTCAGAAGTGAACTTGAATTTCCTTGACAGTTCCTGACATGACTTATCAGACTTTTACGCTTCGATAAGTTCTACGCGCACTGTGTTCGTAGCTTTCACGCTATTCGCCGGAATATCGTTGTATTGTCGAGAGAGGTCGTGATTGTCTTCTCTCCTGGACTTCGAATCATAGTCCGAATGTCTTGACACTGCATCAGCCAAGACGCTCGTCTTGAATGGCCTGGAGTTTAGACCAACGTTATACTTCGCAAAGAAGAAAACCCATCCTGCCATTCTCTGCGATAAATGAGGAGTCATTACCTCTGTACGCAGCGAAGCAGGATCTGTATGAGTTACAAAGCGCTCCTGTCCAAGCAAGTACACACGAAACTTGACCAAAGCATACTTTATTGTATACTCTCTTTATTATGAGGCGGATGATTCATTTTTGTGGACCGGTGTTGTTGCAACGGATACGAAACAGCTCGCTCTCGACCCTCACCATCGTGTTGCATCAACGCAAAACTGATGGAATATTCACTTGTATTGCAGACCACACTGAAATGCTGATCGCAGTTTGCAATCGCAAAGAAAGAAGCTTCTTGCAAGCTCTTCATCACTCAAGAAAACACCGCCTGGTAAGCTTTTGGTCATTCCCACGCGTTGGTGCAACCCTAAAATTTGTTTACGGAAGAACACTGAGTGACTATTTCCACTCAACACTCCAATTTAGAAGAGTCGTTAGGAGTTGCATCAAGGCTGCATACTTGCGCGTGTATTTGTACAGATAATTTGCCAAGCCCAGCCATAGAAGCAGCTGTTCCACATTGTTTGACACATGCCATTAATTGGCAGCTCTAACATTCTCCAATCCTACACAAACATCATTCTTGCCGACAAAGCAGATAGGTTTTCATACGAGCTTAGATTAACTTCTCTCGCATAACTTAAAAAACTTGACAAAAATGATCAAGATGAACATCTATCACTCGTTTTTTCTATGAACAAATATTCGTCAGAATGACTCGGTACAAACTATCTCAATGAACAAAGAAAATTCGTCGACGATGCTGCTGATAATCCCGGGAGCGTTATTGAAACCTTATGGCATCACGACCCATTTCTATCTAATACCACTTGGGGTACTGACCGCAAGTAGGGTGCATCGTCTCGCAAAGTCGCATCTGATATTTAGATCGACCGCACAGAAAACGACACCACCCACCATTCCCTCAAGGATCATATCCTTGCGTGAAGCCGGGATCTAAGCAATTATAGTCGCATCGTTCAATTTGTTGAAAGCGTGAACAATGCGCCAACCACCTGTGTGTTTTTTTTTTCTCAAAGAAGTTCAGCGTCTTCTTGCCTATCTAGAGTAATGAAAACAATTCTCTGGCTGAATTTAAAGAATTTTCAAATCTCACGTTACCGCATAGCCTCCTTGTGCATTTAAAGCCACATCATTTAGAAATTCGCGCAAAGTGTTTTGGACCAAACCAACTTGTACCTTGATCTGGGTCACACAAAACACTTGACGGAGATATCTCTTGGTGGCCTTCTATTTATTTTTCAAGATGGGTCTCGCCTCTAGTCCACCATTCTTCATATGTCCATCGCCCATGACTCCCATGTTATATACAAATAAGAAAATCATTTTCTGGCACCAGACCGCTTCGCCACCACTAATCGTCGTTACTTTTGTCGTCTTGGACGTGTCTTGTAAACATGAGGGGATATCATCTTGGGCATTTTTGACTTCTTAAACATTTGCCCAATATAATCCGATCGAGTTAGCGCTGCACGACTTGTTGACGATAAACTTTAAATTCATCCAGTTAATGCTGGGCTGATAATGCTTCAACCATGCTATACGTAGGATGTTATACGCGTTATTAACACGTAGAGAATGATAAACTCGTCTTCACCTCAGCTATCCTCGCTTCATTGCCAATATAATGACTTGCTTTGGCACCTTCGTTGTAGATCCATTCGCGAAGCGAGTGATCATTTCTCTTTTCACACTGGGTAGACTAAAGCCACGCTCAGTCATAATTTGCGCTCAAAAAAGCTTTTTATCGCACCAATGTCAATCAAAGCTTGTGATGAATTCTAAAATCATCAACGAAGCCTTTTAGAACAATCAAAGAGGAACTTTGCCTGGCACTACTGTCGCTCTGAGTGAAAACAGCATGTGCATCATGCACGTTAGGGTCACAGTTCTGTGTATTCACAGAATCCACAGTCCTCTTCCCGCCCTGACCGCTCATGTTTTTACCCTCGGGAGCTTTCCATTTAGCGACCTATATAATATCTGCGGTTATCCGAACGAGCACACTGTGTCTGTTGCGGATCGGCAAAGACACTCTGCAGCTCTTAGCAATAGGACTCGGCTTCGTGTACCGAAAACACTTTCCATCATTGCAAGAACTTTCATTTCTAAACATATAGGTGTAGGAGATATACATTCGCTCTGGACCATCATTTGTAGGAGTTGGCTAACACGTTTGACTCGGTATGGAGCCGTTGGACATGGCTTGCATGATGATGAACTTTTCGTGCATCGCACGGTTGGTGGCATCGTTCAGCGTCTCGACTACTCATGGAAGAGCTGATTTTGAATTGGCCCATAGTACAAACCCGCCCTGAACTAACGTTGAAACGTCAACTGGCTCGTATTAATACGAAGTAACGAGCACGGTTTGAATACAAATGAAGGTCTTAATGACCCTTACGATGCTTCAAGACCTCGACACGGGCACAAAAATCACTCTGTGGTGGCTCAAACGTCTTATTTCTACTGAACTTGAAGCGATCGTGGATCGGCAAAATGTTCATTATAAGCCCAACGGTTTGAGCGACCCGCAAGGTTAGACATCGAGAACAACGCTTGCTGTAAATGGTTTCACAGTTATCTTGCAGCGTTTGCGGCATCCAGCTCGACAAAACATCGTGAGAGAGGCTCGTTCTTCCCACTACGGTTCAAGGACACGTCACCTTCATCATTCTGTACGAAGAAAAGGGAGGTGAAACCATTTTCCGAGATTCCATGATCTCATGATGCATGAAACTGATGTCGCGCTCTTCCGATCATTCGGAGAAGACGACCACATTTAGCTGACTACAGCACTTTCACCGATGATTTTTTGCAAACCCTTAAATGCGAATCACTCATATGAAGACAAATGATGAAACATCTCATTTATCAGCATCTCCGCTTGCGACTCTGACGCATAGAGTGGTACCCCAACCGCCGCCATGTCACTCGGACAAGGACAAGAGTGTGACTTGGACTATTTTGTGGGACGTGCTTATCAGCCGCGTCGTCGAATCAAAATCAAGTGCCAATGAAAAGACGGCTCAAATTGCTACCAGATGAAGAGTGCGCCGGACACGACAATCTCTTAAACACAACACACACGCTTGTGGAACTACTAAGCGTTTCCCGACGTGAAGGAAGAGAGGCATTCTCGACTTGGAGAGAAGAAGAACGACTAAAGATTGTGAAGGCTAAATTGCAATTGAACTAAAATACAGTAATGGTTCCTAGAGCTACATACAAAACACCCCAGGGGCCTCTAGAGGTCTTATAAATCTAACCTTGGGTTCCTGTGGAACTTATTTATACAATCAAGGGTAGATTGAGGTTTTGAGTTTATACAAGATCTTGGGTTTACGGGGCTTAAATTCGAAAAACTTGAGCTTGAACGTTCATGGAAAGTATCCAGGAAAAGTGACTGACGTATGTTAACCAGAAGTGACTGGCTTACGTCGCTCACTTAAAAAGACAGACACGGTTAACATCGGTCTCGTCAGCGATACAGATTTTTAAGTAGGAATCAGCATTTTGAAAGACACAGAATGTTTGTGACTTCAATTAAGATATTACATATGCATGTGGGTTTGCCATTTAGATTTCCCAATTTAATAACTCTCCACAATTCGAACAGAACGACATAATATAATGCCTAGAGTAGTCCATCACCTAGACAGTGTGGTGACACCACGCCGTTGAGTTCATAATGATGGTCAGCTCGTTACCAGCGGGGCAAACCTGGTTAAAAGTTACGCTTACGTTACGACAATTCAGATCATCACGCCATGATTAAGGTAGAACACTATTATAGTCTCTCACCCGGCATGTGAAGGGTCTTTACACGCCTAAGTTCTTGAGCTGTGTACTCACACCATACGTGAAAAGACCACAAGAAACGCGCCCCGTGAACGATTTCCAGACAATTAGGCCATTATTTTCGGAAATAACGTCGACTGGCGGAGCTCGTACACCCCATGACGGATGTAATTTGAATGATCTGAAGCGATTTCGCTGTGTATCAGACTCAGTTCACACATTTTCTGATCCATACATATGATAGAAACTAGCGTCAGCAAAGCAAATATTCAACTAAACCCTGTCTCGTGCTTGACTTGCAACGTACAAAGAACGACGCGAACTTTGAGGAGGCAATTAGATCCTGCTGTTTATAGTCAGATCGGCTCCAAAAGAAAGTTGCATTAGCTACCGACGAAAGATTTTTTTACTGCAAAATAACTCGTTCTTGTTAGTAAATTGCTCTCTACAATGAGCGACCTTGCCTCTTCTCCAAAAGAGAGAAAGACCGGGAGTGCGCCAAGTTGTAAGCGGTCACGGCACCAAGGCAATCTTGCCGAGTACTACCTAGTTCTTTGAGTTTGGAATTCACTTCAACAGGTACTGGACACAGCCCCTATATATTTCCTAGTTTTCAAACATTCCACATGCAATATGCCACTTTTTGTCATTGGGATCGGCCTGCAAAGGTTTATACTCCCGCGACTGAATCTCGTAAGCTCTCTCAGATGTGCCGGCATGTCGACTGAGTCAGATCTTAGATTCGCTGTGTATGTTGCGTTATCATTGTGCCTGGCTTTAAACACCCAGTTTAGAACTACGAAACTGCTGTGAAGCAGAGGGTGGGGGATGGTGAAGACTTTGTTCCGTCTGCGACAGAATCATCCGAATCAACTTGCCCGTAATAGGAATAAAGTGATATGGTATGGTTTCAGTCAGTCCTGAAGAAGCACAGCAAAGGATCGCTTTCATTCAGGGAGCTAATAGCATATCACGATTCCTTCGTCACCACCACCGTAGCGTGGTCGAAACTTAGTCTGATAGATCGCTGGCGCTGTATGTCTACGTAGGATAATTGCATTCGGTGAAATTTTAGGCTTTCAACTTATTTTGTGGGTTCTGTCTGCATCCGACATCGACATTTTGCTTTTAATTATCGTGGCTGGTGACCACAGCGATGCGCAAACATCGAATGAGGTTCAAACTCGTCAAAGATAATCAATGATTTGCTCTATTTTGTAGATAGGTTGACATCAGCCAGTCATGTTTGATCGACAGCTTCTGCCTCCTTGGAATACGAAGTGATGTTAAAAGCATTTAGAGGTCCATTAAACAATATAAATGTGGGGCGAAGTATGCATATGTTAATCTTAAGCAGTTACAGCAACTTGTTTCAGCTCAGCGTATTCTGGTCATCGGTTGAATTTTGAGCCTTGAAAAGCGTGTCAGAACTTTGCCATCAAACGCGGATATTTATTAGATCCAATGGTGATAGCTTAGCAAAAAGTGCATTTGTACTCATGTCATAAAATCAAAATCATTGCCGCAATTGACGGCACCGTTGGCCAACCTTTCGATATTGGCAGAGTGCAATGTCGACAGACCATATTAGTGAAACACTTTGTCGAGGAACATCTTGACTAAAAGCTACACGTCAAATGATCGCTGACAGCAACGAGGCCAGCCATCTTACTTTGACCGTCCACATAAACGACAATGCCGGTATAACCGGACGCGTTGATTAAAGACAGAAATAGTGGATTACTTGCACTCTGCCAATATCGAAAGGATGGCCAACGGTGCCGTCAATTGCGGTAAAGATTTTGATTTTCTGACATGAGTACAAATGCACTTTTTGCTGAGCTATCAGCGCGAAGCGCTCGCCGAACGGTTAGTCATTTGTCTTCTAAGATGTATCATTTACCTGAAACAGTGATCCGTACTTGAAGACTTTGACATGAGACACACTACCGCCATGTAGATCATTACTGTAATGTAGCAGCCCTTTGAATAAATAGATCAACATTTTTGTGTGAACGCGCGCATTGATAAATAATCAATTTAAGCAATTTCATAATAGTTGGATCTGATCTGTACGCAGGATTTACTGCCTTAATATTGGGGCGTCGACATCGTGACGTGAGACAAGTCAAGATCGGGGCGACGTGAGCCCACAACCGCCATCACGTTAAGCTGATCTGGCTTGGATCCTGCACGGAAGATTTGCTAGGCAAAGATAAAAAGCATCGTGCCTTCTTCTGTGAGAGACATGATATTTGTAACGGATGTTACACGTACCCTGGTATAAAGGGGCGGGCCACACCAGATGGTGTGACCATCCAAGTGTGTGGGTCACACAAGACGTTGCGATCACACAATGGTGTGGCTTCACCTTTACAAGTAGTCAGTACGTGGCTGGACTGCCAGTATTAAATTTTACTATCGAGTTATGTAAACCTATAGGCTCGGGCATAGGCGGCTTTGCCGCAATTAAAACCAAGAACCACTAATAACAATTTTTACAAAAGAGTTTGTTTGCCTTGAGTTATGGTCCTGTTTACTTTTGGAGTAAGCGGATTGCGATTCGCTACACTGGTACTGGTTCTAAGTTCAGAACGAACGTCGGTGACCTTAGCTTAGCCTCCTCTAAGAGAAAGAGCTATGGCAGTCCCGCTGCACTTGATAGCACACGTAGTCAATCTACTCCTGAGTCGTTACGACTGATCTTCTGTAAGGATAGAGCAGTTCTCCTGTTTGTCCCAGGGTAGGCAGGACGAGCCTAAAACGCTGATGTATCTGCTTGGCGCTGAGGGCATGCAACACCTCGTTTCGCAAGGTCGTGAAGCGATCAGCGAGCGTCTTGAGGCGTTTACAAGCTATAAAATGCTCTGCTAAAGCATCTACAACAGAAGATGTTGGCATCGAATACGTCCATGACGCTGCCATCGGCGACGGATCACTTATCCGACCTAAGTCGCTCGTATTGACAGTTCAGACATTCAAGTGGATATGTGGAGTTAATCTCATGCTTTGGGCGAGTCGAAATTGCCATGGCGTTCGCCATTCTCAAAAACGAGCAACAGTGCGTGGCGCTATTCATCACCAAGCTCGGGGGTCGAGCGCGAGAATGGGCACTGACATACGGCACTTTGCTCGAAGCGGCATTTCTTTATGGACGGAATTGATGCTGCAACTTTCGCGAGGGTTCTCGTCGCCTAACTAGGCATATCGCGCGCGATCGCTATTCCTTGCCGCTCAACATGGCAAGAATGTATTGGTAGACATATTCCAAGGGTTGTGTACTCTCATTGCCGGTATGACATCCGATCCTCTCTCGAGGCAGTCTCTATGGGGAGGCTCCGCGCTGGCGTGGCCCAAATGGAATTCTTTCGTGTGTGCCCGTCATCTTTTGAAGAGGCAGTTAATGTGGCATTGATTGCCGAATCCAACTTTAAGGCTGGACGACTTAGTTGGAATCCACACCTTATGAGCTCGTCGAGCGGGCATGAACCGATGGAATCAGCTATGCTGAGAACGAGGAGGCAGAGCTCCGAGCTGCCGAGTAGTGTCCAAACATCCGACGATGTTTTGTCTGTGGAGTCAACTTCACATTTGGACTGGTTGTCCCCTGCGCAAGGCGCGTAAAGGTTCATCGAACGGACGCTCCGCTTCTCACCAGTCGTCTGGTTTGTTGCGTTGAAACGACAACACTCAGGAGGCGCGGGGTACCCTACTGGGGAAGAAATGAGTTCCGTTGAGCCTCAAGAGGTAGAGGGCGGTAGGGCCAGCCCCAAAGAGCTCCGTACTCTTAAACACAGAAATTGTGTGAAAGCCGGGCTTGCTGGGCGTATAAGCAATCGTGAAGGGCTTTGATAAGCAATAAGAATTCCGTATTGATTCTGGTGCGTCGGGCAATTATGCTCGAAGCTCCACGATAAAAGGAAGTCAGCTTTATGCTGAGGCGCTGAATGCGCGGTTGAGTAAAATTATCACTGTTCGCATAGCGACGGGGACATGTGTCACTGTGACGAGGGTCCCTGTGGACCTTGACGTCAATTTCTTGACTTTGAAACCGTGGAACGCTGCTTAGTCTTAGACCTGGATGCATGGTATGACCTTACCCTTGGAAAGGCATATATGAAACACCATGAACAATGGATTAATTGGAGGTCGAAGACCTTGGGAGCTACGCGCACGGCTCCTGGTGAAGCTTTGAGGAATCATGAAACCATGAACTCACCTCTGCTAGGAAGCAGAAGCGCTTTTGGCGTGGGCACTGGACGCGGACGGTCTATTTGCTGGATATTGGAGTTGATCAATGGTGTTTTGGACAGGAGTCCCGAGCGTGGCTCTCGGGCTGAACGTGGAGTGGCACATAACCCACTGAGCACTGCCCACATTACAAAGCAGTTTGCTGTATGCCAAGCGTGGCATGGTCGGACGAGGTCAGAGGCATCAAGAACGAGACCTTTGCAATGCGTGTGGAGTGGCACGTAATCCACTGAGCACTGCGCACGTTTCGAAGCAGTTGCTACATGCCAAGAGTGGCATAGTCAGATGAGACCCGAGACATTTTGGGAATGGCCCATCTGATGCGAGTGAGGTAGCACATTATCCACTAAACAAAGACTGCGGAAATAGCAGCTCTTCGTCGGATGATGTTGATAGCATCAAATCTCCGATGGGGCAGGGAGTGGGGAAAGTAGATCCTGAAAGATTCCTCGGATTCATACTATCCTTTGGTACAAAAATGTTAAGACGTCGTCCCCAACGAATCGTCGTCAGTTGTACCTCCGGACCGAGGTGTGCGTCATGGGATTGACCTTGTTTCGGGAGCCACATGCTGCGTGACACACCAATGGCCACTATCCAAGGAGCAGTGCGCCTCGTTGACACCTTTTTTCATGCAAAGCACGAGGCAGTAATGGTTCGTGAGAGCAGGTCTCCCCATACAACACCCACGTTGTGTGTCCGGAAGCCGAACAGCAAGTAGCGTATCGTGCACGCTTGTAATAAGCTCAACGCTGCCACCATAACGACACAGAGGCCGATTCCTAAAGGATGTTCTCCAGAACAATATGGTTGGCTGTACAAAGTACAGCGCACTCGAATTGGTCGATGAGTATGACTAATTGTTCTTGAGAGCGAATGACATACCGCTGACAGCATCGAGTACGCCGAACGGGATGCTCTTGAAGCCCAAGGGTTGTCAAATGCACCGACAACACTTAATCGTCATGTGACGCAATTGTTCAGGCCCCA